AAACAATTTCTTTGTTAAGCTTCAGAAGGTTTTCAGCCACTGCACCAAGCATGCGAGCTGTTTGTCTGTACAAACCGCTGCCATTGCTTGTCTTTTCCAGGATAGTACTAATTTCTGTGTGCCTTCGGGAGACATCTGGACATTTCCTGTGTGTATCTTTATGCTGGTTCTCACTGGGAGAAACAGGTCAGCCCGTCAGAGTCCTGCTCTCACCGTGTCATGGTTACTTTTCACTGCTAAGACAAAATACTCGACACCCAAAGTTAAAAGGGGAAGGCTTATTTACAGTCTGTAAGGCTCCCGTCCACACCTGGGTGGCTGCAAGGTAGATCAGCACGTGGCAGAGGGGCATCACAGAGGAGAACAGTTCTTCCCATGCAAAAGATAGAAAAAGCCACAAGAGACCTTAACACGTCTCCTTGCCCCTTTTACTTTATGCAGACTACAAGATTAGGGCGGGGTCAGACCAATCAGTGCACTGGTTTAGTAACCACACAGCCTAATCCCAGCATCACACACTCTAGATTCAGCCACCTCTGAAAAATCACCTATGACTGCCCGACGCTTTGTGGGGACATCTGGATCCAAACTGTAACATTCTGCCTCTAGCCCCTAAAGACTCGTGTGCATTCTGTTACGCAAAAGGCATTTAGTGCATCTCCATGAGTTGCCAGAGCCCTAACAGTTTCCGCATTGCCAAAAAGTTCAGGTTCAAAGTCTCCTCTGAGATTTAGAGGCAAGTTCATAGCTGCAAGCCCCTAATAAATGAAAATAAAATTAAACACTTCTGACATTCAGTGGTGTAAGACAGACATTTCCATTCCAAAGGTTAAACACGGGGACAGAGAGGGATGGGATCGAATCAAGTCCAGAATCCAGCAGGGCAAACACTGAGTCCTGCGGTTCCGTGTCCAGCATCCCCGGCGGTCCGTGACAAGTTGTGAGCTCCAAGGGCTTGGGTGGCTCCGTCCCTATGGCACTGCCTGTGGCTGTAGCCCACAAGGCTTCTCTCTGGGGCCGGCTCTGCTCCCTCCTTGTGGCTTTCCTCCCATGATCCAGAAGTCCTACTTCCGGGTCCTACTTCTTCTCCGGACTTTGGCTTCCGGTCAGCTTCACACACGGCCCTCTCAGGGGCACTGCCGGCCTCCCAGGCCTCCTTCTGAAGTCTGGGTGGAGCCTTCCTGACCCCACAGCTCCTGAAGTCTGCAGCTGGAGCAGCAGCCAGGCTTCCTCCTCCCTTTGCTGTAGGGCTCCAGTGCCTGTGAACCAAATCCCGAGGCCGCCGGCATTCTGGAACATGGTGCGCTCAGGTTGTCTTCTCGAGCGCAGTCTCACTTTTGCAATTATGAGGCTGCAAAGGCTGGAGTCCTGCTGCTTCTTGTGATGCCCTCGGGCTACCTTTTCTACTCTCCTGTCCCCTGTCAGCAGTCAGTATCTGCTCTGCTTTATCTTTGTAACTGCAGCTTTACTGCGGCTTCCTTTCTGGACAAACTCAGAATGTTTTAAATCATTCTACTGGGCTCTTTGCTCTTGATTTTCAACATAAATCTGCCTAAAATCTCCCAATTGCAGCCAAGCCACTTCTTCAACATTAACCTTGACATTTCTTCTACCATTATTAGTCTGCCACCCTTAACTTCAGTCTCAGGCATTCTCTGGACATGAGCAAAATGCAGACAAACCTCCTGCCAATGCATAACACACACTGTTTGGAGTCCATCAGCCAGTGCAGTCCTTCTTCCCAGCAGAATGCCCCCAGGCCTGGTCTTCACTGGCTTTCTGCTCTTCTGAGCTCTCAGCAGAATCTCCCACGCAGAACGGCCTACGGCGTTCCAGCCGTACCTCTTCAGTCGGCAGCTCCGAATCTTTCCTAACTCTCCCCCTTCCCACAAGCCAGTTCCAAAGGCTCTTGAACCACACCTGGTACCAAATTCTTAGTTGCTTTTCTTGTTGCTGAGAGAAAATACCCAACACCCAGAGCTGAAAGGAGAGAGTTTATTTGCCTCAGACTTGGTAGGGGCTTCAGTCCATACTCAGCTGGCTCCAAGGCTGGACAGCACATGGCAGAGGGGCAGCAGTTTATGGCAGACTGAAGGCAACAAAGAACAAGGGGACTTGACAGTATTGTTCTGCTCCTTCTATTTTACCCGGACCACGGGGGATTAGGGCGGTGTTAAACCAACCAGGAGGCTCAATCCCAGCATCACACACTAGATCCAGCCACTGCTGGCAAAGCCCTGTGACCTACGACCACATGAGGCTTTGAGGGGACATCTAGACACAAGCCTTGACACATGCACCAGGGGAAGATTCTTACTGGGAGGCTATTTCTTCAGTAAACCAATTTAGGGTAGTGTTGGTGGGAAAGAGGAGTAGGGCATAGTCAGACATTATAACAGTGTGTATGTGACAGTAAAAGCCCCGTGAAGAAAAATGTGGCATGGAGAGCAAGTGGGTCCTTACGGAAGACGGGACTGCTCCACAGTCATGTACAATGGGAAGAAACCATTTAGGCTGAGATCATATTAAGGAATTTGAATGTCTTATATTTGTATTTTTCAGGCCACTCTTGTTTTCTTAAAGTACTTCTTTACAAAATCATTCCAAAACAATTGTCTTAATATTTACAGACAAGTATTGCAGAGAACTAATTATATTTTTTCAAGAGCAAAGAAGTTTCACTAACCCAGGCTTAATGAAAATAATGAATTTAAACATTGGTCTCTTCAAATATGTGAATGAATAGGTTATTTAGATTACTAGAAGAAATAGATAAACTAATGGAATTTGGCTTTCTTCTGCTTTCTCACGAAGATGTAAATATCCAAAATGTTAAATAATTTATAGAGGGATACAGTTCTTTTTACCTGAATGACATTCAAAATGAGGAATTTGAAAGTCAGCCACAATGCATTACACTGTTTAAGAATGCTTTAAAAGTCCATTCTTCACAGAACAAAAATATAAGCACAGATCAACAGCCAGCTTTCATGAAAGGAGTATTTTTTAGGATGTAAAATGCTGTCAAAACATTATTTGGAGGGCAAATCACCATGTGTGAGCCCATTAGGATTTTTTTCCCCCGCGTACTTTCCTTTTTTTCACTCTGTCCTTCTGTCACTTCTATTTATTTATTTATTTTTGGTACCAGGAATCAAACTTGGGACCTTGCGTTTGCAAGGCAGGCGGCTGCTCCACTGAGCTAAATCCCCAGCCCTCTTCTGTCACTTCTTATCTCCTGATGTTTGCTTATTTATATATGTACTGTTTGTATTTTTTCCACGGGCCCACGATAGCTGTGATGTTCTTTTTCGCGACTCTTTCACTGCCTGTCTGACTCTTCAGTGATCTGTGCTCTGAGTGCTCTGAGGATGGGTCGGTGTTTCCTGGATCTCAGATATGGCTGACACAGGAAATGATGGTGTCTCCTCATACTTGTGCAATTATCACAGGGTGTGGTGGTGCACACCTATAATCCCAGTGTTCTGGGAGGCTGAGGCAGGACGACTGCTAGTTCAAGGGCAGCCTGGGAAACTTAGCAAGACCCTGTCTCAAAATAAAAAATAAAGAGTTAAAGATTTGTGTGTTCCGTGGGTTCAGTCCTTAGTACCCCCCCCACACGCACACACAAATAGGATGATTATGAGAGACATTTTTAATTTTAAAATGTAACATGTTCAATTCACTTTTCTGTGAAAAACGAAGTAAAAAATGAATTTTAGATTTGTGCTGGCACCACCAGCTTTGCCAGTGCTGTTAGCCCAGCTGATACACAGCAGATGGTCATTCCCTCCAGGAGTCCTTGGCAGGGCTGCATCCCCCAGGCCGCACAGCACTGCCTTTCTGTGGATCTCATCCTGCCCCACGGCCCTGGGCACATAGACTTCATTCCCATTGCTGCTAAAATAGCCTTTAGCCTTAGTCCTTATAAACTGAGCAGACCCTGAGACCATAAATGAACTTGCTCATGGTAACCTCCTCCGGGTGAGGCGGGGTCCGGGGGGAGAGGCCTCTCTCCTTATCTCTGAGCTAAGCTTTTGAGGCCCATAGTTTAAAAGCCTGTTTGAGCTGTATATTCAAGATTAAATTTCAGTCACTGAGGGCTGGAACTGCCTTTTGCTGTGGCTCTGGGGGGTCTTCGTGTAGATGGAGCCCTGGCTCAGCCAGGACTTGTGATGGACACAGGAACCCAGGCATCCCGCCTCCAGTCAGCGATGGCCCTTGTCTGTTGAGAGAGCCATTTCTTCTACTGAACTGCCACTGCTTTGTGGCATCTTCTCTTGTGAAAATTAAAGCAAGGGCCAGGGATTTAGCTCAGTGGCACTGTGCCTGCCTTGCAAGTGCACAGTTCTGAGTTTGGTCCCAGGTACAATCAGTCAATCAATAAATGCAAAAAAGAAATTGAAGTGCTACCTTTGAGGCACAAAACTAAGTTACAGATGCAGTTGTGTTCGAGAGAAGGAGCTAAAACTTTGTGATGATCATGCTGTTTTTGTTCTTGGATCTGTTTATGGTCACAATCGTAGTTGAGAAATAACTTTGAAAGTAGCTCCATTTTTTTTATGGTGTAGGAGCATGGCACAAGCCGCTGCAAGTTTACTATTGATTTCTGACTTAAATCCATGGACTCGTAGAAGGGGACACAAAACTACAGTAAGACTTAGAGGTCAGCACGAAATTTAGGAGTTTGCCAAACCATCTCCTAGGAGCCACCCAGCCACCTGCCAATGGCACCGCCAGGGTCAGCGAGGGTGGGGAAGGACGGGGACGCGGTGCCTGTCCCTCGGAAAACAGCTCGCTTCTCTTTCAGTTTCTCCTCCGACTCAGGGCGGGTGGGAAAGGCTTTAGGGTGGCCGTATATACCGTGTCCACATCTTACAGGGGGAGGAGAGGGAAGACCAAGAAGGTGTGGTTGCTCCCTAGTTGAGCGGGCCTCAGCCCAGCCTGTTCCCGCTGGATCCGGTGCCCGCATTGACAGCCTGCTCTTTCTCTGCCCTCAGCCTCCAGAGCTAAGCTCAGCATGATCAACACCATGTCAAAAATCCGTGGCCAGGAGAAGGGGCCTGGCTACCCGCAGGCGGAGGCGCTGCTGGCGGAGGCCATGCTCAAGTTCGGCAGGGAGCTCGGAGAGGACTGCAATTTTGGTGAGGAAGGCCGGGGCGCCCACGACGGATCTGTGGGCGTCGCCGGGACTGGAGGGTGGGGAGGAAGCTCTGTCGGGGGCCTGGTGAAGCTGTCTGTACCTTACACGTTGGGATCTTACACATGTGGGCCCACCGTTGCTTTTACAGTTGCTTCATTATTTTTAAGATGATTTCTGTTAGTTTCTTTTTTTCCCTACGCCGGCTTTGGCTGGTACCCTGGTTCCTCAGCACCCTCTGATGGCAGGAAGAGGGTTTGAGGCAGAAGGAGCAGTCACTATTGCAACCCTGCCGCCTGGCTTTCCTCCCATCCTAGCTCACTTGTACGTGGCACCTGGTTCCATGCTGCTGTGAGCCGTGTTTGTCCGTCACCCCCTCTCCTCTGATGCGCAGCCCCACACTGGGTGTCTTCTAGCTCCATCCCCTAGTGCCAGAAGGTCTCAAGAGCTGATTGTCTCCTTGTTTGAACCCTGCTGTTTCTTCCTGGTATTTGCTTCTGCTAAACACATTGAACTGAAACCGGCCTTGTGTTAGGGGAAGCTGGTTCTTACGAGGGAGGGCAGGGAGCCCATCAAATTAGTTTTAAAGGATAGTGAGGACATCCCTTCTTAGGAGGACACCGAGTCTGGTCCCCAGAAGGAGGTGGGTATGTGGGAAGAACCATTCTCTGGGGTGCTGAGCACCCCTCCCTGTGACTCCATCTGCAAAGGCCCTAGTATCTCAGATGCTGCCTGTCTTTGGCTCGAAGGCACCAGAGCTTTATCGTCTCCCTCCAGGTCCAGCACTCGGGGACGTGGGGGAGGCCATGAGGGAGCTGTCAGAGGTGAAGGACTCACTGGACATGGAAGTGAAGCAGAACTTCATCGACCCCCTTCAGAACCTGCACGACAAAGATCTGAGAGAGATTCAGGTGTGTGCAGCAGACACCCTGCAAAGCCGGCAGCCCAGAGCGAGCACGCAGCGCTCCTGAGCTGGAGAAAGCGGCTCTGGCTTAGGTTGCAATGATGGCAGTGGGCACCTGGGTCGAGAAAGACCAGGAGCCCCAGAAGGGCAGCCCCACAGCCCACTGAGTGCCTTTGCCTCGCGGGGTGCTGCGTGGACTTCGGAAGAAGCTGCAGAGGCCGTGGCCTTTCCATGCAGATGGGCAATTCTGTTCATTAGAGTGGCGGCTGGGCTGGTGCCACACCCTGAGTGCTCATGGTGCTATTTGGTAGCTTAAATAAATAGTTACTATATCACCCTTAAATTTGTATTTTCATAATGATTGCTGAGATCGAGGAAGAACAGCCAACTACCCTCTTTCTAAATACGGAAAAGTTGAGCTGTTGTGATGCATGAAGTTCGGCTGACGTTGTCTCTAACTGGATGTGTGATATTTGCTCATTCATTTATTCAACAAAATTTGTTGAATTTGCCTGAACTTGACTTTGCTGGCTGGGAAGTGCCCCACCACGTTCAACTCAGATTCTCGTCATCCTAGCTGAAATTGGCACTTGGTGAGTGGGAGACTCGCTGTAAATCTAAAATATAGCTCTGGCCCAGCACCCTACTCTGCAGCCAGCCAAAGGTTCCAGTGTTTTGGGTGTTCCCTCTGAAAGAGATGTTCATTTTGGACGAGGGGATGAAGAGCTGGGGAATGGCCAGGATAGTGTTCGTCCTCTCTTCCCTTTTGGCTCTTTGTCACCCCCAGCTGTTTTCTTCTCCTTTCCTTTCACTCCATGTGCCCAGGAGCAAGGGACAATCCACCCCACACCCCCATTAGCAGGGGAAGACCACGGCTCTCAGGGAAACAATGTTTTTTGACTTTGGGAAACTACTGGCTACTGGAGACGATGGGCAGAGGCTGGGGACCCTTCCTGGGGCTCCACCAGGGGATTGGGGCTCAGCGTGGACTATTAGACCAAGTCTAATGGTCTAGACTTGTTGGGGGAGGTAGAGGGAATCAGCAGTCCCAAGGCTTGGCCCTGTATATTTCAGTTTGGGTGGTGAGGAATTCTTATTCTTAATAACTTAGTGAACAACTTAAGTAAGTGATTCTTATAGACTGCAAGAGTCAAAAAACAAGTATCCATTGCTTCTCCTTTTACTTCAGGAAAGGCATTTTCCCCTGAAGATGAGGATGCAGGCTCTGTGAGTGTGTGCTTTCGGTGTGTTTAGTATGCACATGTGTTCCCTTCTTACCATTGGCAGGGGAAGGCGTCGTCCAGCTCAGCTTTGGTCTGGCAAAGCCATAAAATAAAGGTCACTGATAACTCCCACAGTTTCTTTCTTGCGCTTAACTTTTTGGAAGATGTTTCCCCATGCTTAGTCTTTGGAAGTGTTTGCCTCCCTGATGCACGTCTTCATTTCTCCGATGATGTGCTGTTTTAAAGCACACCCTGTCTTATTCCCGAGGCTAACGGCGTGATGGACAAGTGAGCTGCAAGAGACGTTTCCACAAGTCCTTTGCAGCACATCCTTGCCCTTGACTCTTTCAGCATCATCTGAAGAAGCTGGAAGGTCGGCGCCTGGACTTTGATTACAAGAAGAAACGACAGGGCAAGATTCCAGATGAAGAGCTTCGCCAGGCTCTGGAGAAGTTTGATGAGTCTAAAGAGATCGCAGAGTCAAGCATGTTTAACCTCTTGGAGATGGATGTGAGTGACTTCTAAGGCCTTTACATTTAACTGTACCATGGGAGCACAAAAATAATGTTTTAAAATACGTCGCTAAATATTAATATCTGATGATACTTTATGATAGGAACACATAGGTGGTGATTTCTTTTAAATAATTTTAAGTGATAAAGTAGTTTGCGAGATGGGAAAGTTTTCCTTCATCCTTATAGTCTGATCAGATAGATTTTTGTCTTCTAATGAGTGTTGGTGTACTACCACTAGTGCAAAGATAAGAATGTTTGTGATGGTCTGGCTGTAAACTCATTACTCCACTAAAAACACTGTGGAAGTACAGATCCTACTGACTGAATACCAACCAAAGTCCACTCAGAATCGAGTGTCCAGCCTAGGCTAAGATGTTCTGTATTTGGAAGTGAAGCTGACATTTTCTTTGAAAAAGTAAATTTTATTAAGATTAGCGTAGGAAATACATGTAGGGCTTAGATAAGGTGCTTCAAAAACTACACCTGTGTCTCCAGAGTACTCAATGAGTATTCATGGTTTTAGACTTTACAGTCTGTTGAGTTCTTTTAGCTTCCAAACCACTAGGACATCTCTTCATTCTTATTCCCCTCACACAGTAAGACCTGGGGAGCCAGCTTTCCTGTCCTCCTCCCCCTCTGCCTACACCTCCGTCGGTTGCTGATCAGCTTCCGCTGAGATGTTGGCAGATACTTTATGTGCTCAGGACTCCTTTAGTCAGGGCTCACGGAGAGACAAGAGCTGTAGGGCACCGGTGTGAATATGGACACAGGAGGGGGACATATCGGGGAGATGAACTCCTGGGAGTGTGGAGGCTGAGCAGGCCCCCAGATGCTGCCTAACTGGCAGAGCAAAGAAGCTGATGTCTGGTGCAGCCCGGTGCAGAGGCCCAGCCAGGGGTGCAAGTCCTGCAGTGAAGGCTGAATGTGGAGAGCCGGGAGCTGATGCCAGGGCAGGAGGTGATGAGGGTCCAGCCTCGGGGGAGGGTGGGGAGAGAGCGAGGAGGGCAAGGCCTCAGCTGACTGGAGGGTGCTTACCCTCCCCGGGTGGGGCAGCTCCTCCTCCTCCATCCTCTGATTCTGCTGGGTGTGGGCACACACCTGCAATTCCAGAGGATCACAAGTTTGAGGCCAACTTAGCAAGATCTAGGTTCAGGCCCCAGTACCACCCCGGCAGAGCCAATGATTTGGATGCTGGCCTTCTGGAAACACCTTCCTAGATAACCAGAAATAGTTTTGCTAGCTGATCTGGGTGTCCCTTGGTCCAGTCAAATTGATCCCTAAAATGAACCAGCTCTTGACTTACCTGCTCTGATCCTGGCTGGTCTTTCCCACCACCATGGAAGGTGTACATCTGTGTTTACATAAAACTGTCTTTAGCCACCTAATTACTCTGCTGGAGGAATACCTGGCAAGCCCAGGATCTCAGCCTACCCTCAGACGTACAGGGCAAAATCAAGGAGCTACTACTCAGCTGGATCGCACAGAACAGAAATAACTAAGATGCTTAGAATGTTAGAACTGGAGCGAACTCAAGATGTAATCTGATCTAGCCTCTCTGCATTGCAGACGAGGCTCGGAGAACACACAGGGTTTCCATCGCACACCATCCTGACTCCCCTGGTGCCTGATGTGAGAAAGTCAGTAGCCACATTTTTATTCATAGCACTACATTAACTGACCACGAAAAGCAGAGGGAACAAAAAAGTCATTCCAGCAGCATGTCCTTTTCCTATGGGAACTTAATAAAAGCCACATCCTATCAGAAGAGCATAGCTAAGCACGAGACTGTTTAATATGAGTTATGTGATCTTCATGAGGATTCTTTCTAACATTGTCGCTCTGCGTGGTTGCAAGCATGAGGATGCTTTCTTGTGCTTAATTAGTTGGAGCCTGCAGAAGCATCTGCCTTAGCCAGGCTCGCGGCACAGTCCTTAGCACTGTCTAGAGTTGGGTGTGCGCTGGGCACAGCACGTCGGATGTGTGGGGAAGTCGTAGCTGCTTCGGGAGGGTACCCTGCTAACGGGCGTGATCCTCCTCCCATGTGCAGATTGAGCAGGTGAGCCAGCTCTCCGCGCTTGTGCAGGCCCAGCTGGAGTACCACAAGCAGGCGGTGCAGATCCTGCAGCAGGTCACTGTCCGACTGGAGGAGAGGTAGGTGGCAGTCCCTGCAACTCACACTCGCGCGTCTGCAGAGAAACTTCTGCCAGAATCCCTGCTGGTCCCATAGACAACTTATGCGTTGCTTTCATTTTGTCTTGAGCTTTACTTTGCCGCATTCTCTGGAACCTGGCCTTGGGTGTATGAGCGACTGTGCCCTGGACTCTGCACTGGCCGTCGTGGTTGGGATGGCGAGATGCTGCCGGTGACGGTGAAGCCCGGTTCTGTGTGAGGACCGGATGCAGAGCCTTAAGGCACTGCATAGACTAAGCCTTCTTAGCCTAACTGGCGGAGGAGAGGACAGAAGCCCAGGGAGGGAAGTGGCTTGCCAGGGTCTTACATACATGTGCATCTGGGGTTCACAGTCAAGCATAAGCTGCTTGAAAACCTGAAGAAGAGCTTTGCACACTTTGTGTTTCTTTGAACAGTAGTCATCCACTGTGAGAAAGAGCCTTCTCAGGTGTCTGTCTGTCCCGCCCCTTGGGTGTGTCCCACTGCAAGTCATAGCGGTGTTCTGTGTGAACGGGGCTCTGAGGAGCTCAGCTGTGTGCAGCCACCCTGAACTGCAATACAGACGTTCCCCGACCAGCGGACAGCGGGGTTGTGCTCTTAGCAAACCCAGAATCACAAAAGCATTCAGTCTACCTAGTGTATAGAGCAGCACGAGTTAGCAACACAGTGCACTGTGGAATACTCGCCACTTACCCTTGCGAATGCGTGGCCGGCAGGTTTGTGGCTTTGATGCCACTGCCTAGGGCAGTGACAGTGCTGGGAGTGCGTGCTTTAGGGGCTGCAGGTGACAGCTCGATCCAGCTCGCTCTCCTTCTTTCCTTCCTTTCTTTCCTTATATCTTTTCTTTTCTTTCCCTCCCTTCCTCCCTCCCTGCCTTCCTCCATCCCTTCTTTCATTCCTTCTTCTCTCACTTTCTCTGTCTCTCCCTCTCCCCCCGCCTTTTTTTTTTTGTAATAGGAATTGAACATAGAGCCTGCTGATCCCCAGCCATTGTTGGATTTTATTTCCAGAAGGGTCTCACTAAGTTCCCCAGGCTGGGTTCAAAATTGTGATCTTCCTACCAGCCTCCAGGAGTGTCGGATTTCAAGTGTGAACCACACACATGGCTTGGGCTGTGAGCTGCTAAAGGAGGAAAAGATCAGAATTTAATGTAGTTTCCATTGATGTCTGTACCTTTGCACTGTTGTAAATTTAAAGAATACTGAGTCAGTCTCACGAGAGTCTGTATGTGTTACGTAGGCAGATAAAGCCATATGATTATGCTGAACACAAATTCTTCCCAGGGTCTCCCGGCAGCCTTTCTCTCAGGTCTTAGCCGCCTGAGATGTTCAGAGATGGTCTGCGGCTAGAGCACAGGGAAGACTCCAGTGTTTTACGCCGCAGCATTAGGAAGTCACCTGTTTGCATTGTTCTCAGCTGAGCGGCCTCAGTCTCCTCCTCAGCCTTGTGTGACTGGTGCTTTGATGGTGTAATTTCCTTCCTTGCACTCTTGTGGAGATAGGTCTAACATCGAAGCCTCTAGGAAGATTCAAAGCCATGCCCCTGAAAACACTAAAGATGCACAGTAATGGCGCTTCGGTTTGCTGATGGTTGCGTTTGCAACAAAAGCATATGGAAACATGTTGTTTCCATTCCATGCCAGGTGACAAGCAGAACCACGCCCTTCTTTCCTACACAAACACAAACACAGCTGTCTTCCCCCAAATAGGAAAGCAAATGGAGTTTGCAAGCCAAGGTATCACTTGTACGTGCCTTTGTGAGGTCTACTGAGAGTAATGGGACCACATTCCTTTTTCTTTTTTTTATTTGTGAAATGTATTCAAAGTCAGTACCATCCTACAGTCCGCATACCCTTATTCCTACCAACCACTGCAAGTTTGCAGTGTACTAGAAATATAAGATACATTTTTTGTACTTTGCTGTACAAACACCTGAAACTCAGGGGCATATTTACAGTGTGCAGAGTGCACTTACTGGCCACACCATCCGCTTGCAGCACTTGGCCGAATCTCTGTCTGCGCCTACTAGAGCCCACGGCCGGTCATCCATCTGGTTATCGCTGTTGTGCTGTGCCCCTCTGCGGGCTGCTAGCCGCTGGATGGCCAGAACTCTGCTTACTCCCTTTGTGTCGCTGGTGCACATCTGCAGATTGTTCTGGATGAAGGGGAGGAAGTGAGGGGTTAGAGAGGACAAAGGAGCTGAGGACAAGCCCAGAGCACACACAGGGCGAGAGAGCTCAGTCCCTGTCACACTTTCCCGCCCTGCCTTACCTTAGTGAGTGACCACCATCTCCTTGGTGGTGGTTTTATTGTTTTCTTTTTACTTCCTACATGGTTGCATAATTAATCTTCCCCCTCTTTCCTTTCTGATGCAGAATAAGACAGGCTTCCTCCCAGCCTCGGAGAGAATATCAGCCTAAACCCAGAATGAGCCTGGAGTTCCCGGCAGGGGATGGCACTCAGCCCAATGGGGGGCTCTCCCACACTGGCACACCCAAGCCTGGAGGTGAGCGGCCTGGGGCATGCCTCGCCCTCCCTGCGTCTCAGGTTGTGGGCCATCCCAGGCCAGGCGTAGGAGATGTGCACTGACGCGGTTTCCCTGGGATGGCTGGCCGGGGGAGCTCTGGAGCCCTTTCCTCTTCTCGTTGCCCTTCCAGTCCCGCACCCAGCCCTTCTGTGCAGAACTGTCTTTGTGTGGACCTCGTCCCGTGGCCTCACACTCACAGCGCTCGCCCAGCCGCCACACTTGCTTTTGACCGATGACGGGGTGGTCATAAATCATCCTAACTCGCCCGTTAGGTGGTCTTGCTGCCCGCGCCCTCCTGGGAATCAGCATGCGGGAGAACGAGTGCCCCGCAGTATGCGCCCACCTTACCCCAACTCCTCCCAGGCAGAGCTGCATGTTTGGGGTTACAGAAGCAGGGGGTTCAGAGGAGGTTTCCTTCCCCAGCCTCTCAGCGCTCTGGTTCACGGCTCAGTGGTACTAAGGTTGACATCCTGAAAGCTGAATTTTATTTTCCTTGGAAATATCGAGGTACATCCAGTAATCCATTATTTCTATCCCTCACAGGCATCACATAAAAGCCTGTGCTTGAGACGTTTCCAACTCTAACAGCACTTGCTTGGTTAAAGAAGCGGGACCTGTCTTACGCGGGATGTGGGTTTTAAAGACACGCACTTTGCCCTGTTGTCCTCGTGTCCCTAGTGCTAGATTTCCTCAGTAGGAAAGGTTTCGTTACATGCTGTCACTTGGGAGACTGTGAAGGACAGGAGGAGCTCCCCGTCCCCCCGTCACCTCCTCTGTGCCCAGCTCCCATGTGCTGTGTGGTCGCAGGCTGCCGGGACAGCTGTGTGCATTCTGACCGTGCTGTGTTGTTAGCCTGCATCTCATTATCAACTCCTCACATCATCTGGTCTCCCGCCTCTGGGCACTGTCGGGACACTGAGTCTAATTAACTCTTTTGTAAATGTCCCAAGAATAGATGTGACCTTTTCTCACCCTGGAAATAAAAATAGGAATGCCCAGCCATGTCCGGCTCCAAGGGAGCAACAGAACACTTGTAGCAGGGCAGGATGCCCTTCTAGTGGGCGCTGGGTCTGCTGGCAAGAGGGAAACGTGGCGAGGCGCAACGAGGAAGGAGGGGTGCAGCAGGCCAGGCGAGGCAGCGACAGTGGACTCCGAGCGTCACACACCCCTGTGCTCTTGTGTTCTCCTCTCTGCCCTGACCCCAGGAGCCCCCATGGATCAGCCCTGCTGCCGAGCGCTGTACGACTTCGAACCCGAGAATGAAGGGGAGCTGGGTTTCAAAGAGGGCGACGTCATCACGCTCACCAACCAGATTGACGAGAACTGGTACGAGGGGATGCTGCACGGCCAGTCGGGCTTCTTCCCCATCAATTACGTGGAGATCCTGGTCGCCCTGCCCCATTAGGGTGGCGTGCCGGCTGGCGCGCCTCTTCCTGACCCAGGTAGCTCAGTTTAACCACAGCTTCGGTAATGCCGCTTCCCACACACCTCGGTGCGGGCCGCAGTGGACCGAGGCAGCGAGCCCACTGTCTGGCTGGCTTGTCGCCCCCGCCGGAGAGGTGACGGCTGGTGTCTTCCGCCCAATGAGCCTGGCATCTGCTTCACACCACCCGAGACTGGCCAGGGGTCAGAACTGCTGTTTACATAGCTCTCAGGAGGCTGTGGCTCTCAGAGTATGACCACGAGCCGCGTCACAGAACAACCATCCTGCTGAAGATATTGTCTGTCACCCAGAGGCCATCAGGAGATCTCCAGGTCTCCAGTCATAGAGGAGCAAGCGCTTGGCTTCACATCGTCCCTTCCCGGATGTGTGAGTCACAGAATGGTGAATGGAAGCCGCCCTCACCAGCAGCTTCCTTCTGATCTGAGTCAGTCTCTTGGGGCCAGCAGTAGACTCGTAGTCATTGTGGAGTGAGGCTTTCTCTGAACAGTGACCTTGTTCACCCCGTATGCCTGCCTGTGAGGTAGAGCCAGTTCCTGCCCTCTGTGTTCTTAAAGCCAGAGATGAGGTTCTCACTTATTTCTAAATAAGCCAGTTGGCAGTCCGCTTATTACGGAGTAGGCTGGAAGAAGGGACCGCCCTGTGAGGAACTGGGAAGAGGTCTTGTTTCCAAGCCTGACTTTCTAGCTGTACAGAAGCACTGTGTGTATTTAGGCATTTTGAAGGGAACAGGGAAGGGGAAACCACCATCTCCACTCAGTGTTATTTATGAATTGTTTCACGGATCTGCTTGGCACAAAGAAACCAGGAGAAGTACTAGTAACCACCTTCCCACTACTCCACAGAGCGAGAAGCAGGCAGTGTCTGTCTTTCCACTTGGACCTTGTGCTCCTGGAGCATCGTTTTGTGCGTATTCTGCCCTCAGTGAGGACCAAATGAAGGTGGTTTTTGTGCTTAGCGGTTTAAGGTATGCGGCTGCGGATGCCTGCTTCCCAGTTCAGTTGTTACTTTGTACCTGTTCTTTCTATCCCACCTTCATTTTGTGTGCACAGTGCCACGTGTAAGCTTAGCAGTGTTGGGTTTTTGCTCTGTCACGAAAGCCCTGTTAGGTATCCAGAGTCCTATTTATCTAGCTGTACAGATTCTTCAGGTTCACTGTGCTGCTCCCAGTGTGCCAACTGTGATAGTGGATCGTGTGGAGTAAAAGGCAAATCTTACTGCTTAATGTATAAACTCACCCCAGGAGGCATTGCTGTTCCCAATAAACATTGCTGAGGACAAAGTCAAAGGTTCTGCTTCTTCACTTGGTGTCAGTTCTCTGGGTCTGACAGTGGGTGGATTAAGGCTTGTTCGGTCTCCATTAGACTCTGTTTATTCACTTTTAGCTTCTTTCTTTATTTTTTGATGCAGGGTCTTGCTCTGTAATTCAGGCTGACCTTGAATTTACTGTGTAGCCCAGGCTGGCCTCGAACTTGCAGCAGTCCTCCTGCCTCGGCCTCCCAAGTGCTAGGATTACAGGCGTGCACCACCACTTCGGGCTCCGTTAGCTTCTGATGCAACCAAGCCAGACCGGGATGCAACAACCTCTGTCTGCCTCACTGTGAGTCGGGAAAAGAGCAGGAGCAAGCTGGGCTGGACACCAACAGCTTCTTGGTAACCCCAGGAAGGAGTAGAGTTTGGGAGAGAGAGGAGAAGTGAAAAGAGCATGACTTCTCTGTGTAAGGGGGGTGTCATCCATGACATTGTTAAGAGAATGGGTATTAGAAGGCGAGAACAACATACACCGTGTTTAGCAGCCTCTTTTCTTCATGTGTGACGGTAGAGAAAAGCACAGCGAAGTACAGTTCCATCAAAAGCCAGCATTCTTTTTTCCTTGATGTGTCTTGAACATCAGAGTTGAGTGAGTGGGGAAAAGCACACAAAATGTGTATTTCCCAAGCTCCCAAGAGGATAAATGTGCTCTTCGTGTATTAGGTGCCCTTTGCTTCTTTTGTCTCAAAAACTCTAGTCCGGATTTTCTAAACTAACACGAAGAGTTCAGTATACAAATCCTATATGTAAATTATTCTTACATAAAAATTTGCTAAATGCATGCGTTCTAGAGTATTACAGATGAATTCTCTAAGTCATTTAAAAATATAAGAATATTATAAATGTAGAAAATCCAGAAGAATCTAAACTGTTGGAATCTGTAAGTGAATTCAATAGAACTACTAGATATAAGATAAATATACAAAATTTGGTTTATTTCTGTATGCCAATTAGAATAATACAGTTTTAGATAATATTTGCAAAATCATCCAAAAGTCAAACTCTTAGACTTAACCTAGCAAGATTGCACAAGACCTTTACATAGAAAATAATGAAACATGCTTGAGAAAATACAGACCTTAGAAAAGACATACTCTCTGCTTATGGATTAGAAAAGTTGGTCCTGTAAAGACATTGTTTCTCCTCATATTTAGTTATTCTGAGGTTCAGTGCAGTTTCAGCCCAAATCTCAGGAAAGCTTTTCTGTTTGAAAATTGACAAGTTTACTTTTCAAGCCTAATCATAAAGCGAGCGTGGAAGAGCACAGTGATCCTTTTCTGTGAAGAACAAAGGCTTTAATCTTTATAAATAAAGTATTCTAAAGTGAAAGCAATAAAGGCAGTGCGTGCCGATGTGCCAGGAGAGTGATGGCCCACACACTGCCTGTGCACTTGGACTGCTTTGGAAGCAGTAAAGCTTCCCAGTACCTCAATGTGACATTTCCACGTCGCTGGAGCCCACTGAGAACCCTACAGGGAAACCGAGGGCTAGACCTCACACGTGGAACACTGGCACTGTGAGCCATTGTCCAGCGAGACCAAACACCCCAGCACAGACTGCGGGGAGCAATCATGTAAGGGCATGTTGCGGAGAGCACTTACTGCTCTCTTGTAATGGACGCACTTACCAGATTCACAGCTGACTGGATCCCTCATCTTTACTGAAGTATAGTAAATACCTGTTTTACACAATCTTAAGTATGGAATAGACAGACAACTCTGAGGACACCTGGAAGTCACTTAACTGAAAACTCATTCTCCAGAGTCTAATCACAGAACAGCTATTAGAAGTGGAGATGGAAGTTGAACTGAATTACACGTAACTAAAATTGTAAATTCACTGGAGGAATTACCAACTTTTCCAATAGATTTGAAAGGTCTTAAAGTGAAAACTCTGGGAAAAGAGGTTTCTCCCCCAGTTTCATGTCACTGTAAAAAAGCAAAGAACAAGAATTAGATGACCAAAAAAGATTTTCCCAGGACAGTGCATAGTAAACAGTGTGTGCCCTGGAATGTACCTGGTCCTGCTCTGCATTTTGGGAAATGAGGGTCGTCTATAGCTGGAATTCAAAACAGCTTCTGGTGTCCACTTCAGGTAGACACAGTCAGTCCGTGTTTCATTAATTGATTAGGAGCCGCTGATCAACATGTGGACTCCGTAATCCCTCCCTGTGGTGGAGTTTGAGGGAAGGCCTGTGTGCAGAGGAGGGAGGCCGTGGGGCCTTCATCAGGAGCTTGGCTGGTGGCTGGTGAAGAGGCCACGCCAGCGTGTCCGAGGCCCAGCTCCGAGGACCTGTGGGGAGCCTTTAGTTACAGGCACTGTCAGAGAACAGAGCAGCACCATTTTAAGGGCCCACTGATTGCTAACCACATAAAGATCAAGTCCCTGAGGGGCCCTCCCAGCACAGAGCCGTCATGGTGGTGACTTCTGTGTGTGGCAGGGGAGAGCTGTGATTCTTGACAGGGTAGAGCACACTGCCAACTTTGGAAACAAAAGATGTAGAATAGCGTTTCATGACCACTTGCTAAAAGCAGTGATTTTCAAGAGTTTGGGGAAAGACCAGAGGGTCCATCTTTAAAAACCTCTGCCAGCGATTCTTAACGTGTCTCTCTTAACAGAGCTCTTGCCTCCATCACAGCTGTTGGAGATAGGGAAAGCACCCAGAGCAGTGGGGGCAAACCCAGGGCATGCATGCCACAGTGGCTGGTGGTATCATTGAAAGCTCTAAAAGGTTCACCATCCCTGCCCTAGAGTCTCCTGAACCTGTTTGATAATAGTCACCTGGGAATAATTGTACATCTGAACTTCAAGGCTCTGTCCCACCCAGGGCCTGGGAAGTTGTAACCATCGTCAGAAAGGCTTAGGAAAAACCAGACAGTGCACCTACGTGCCCACGTCACTTGAGTCACCTGGGTCCTGTTCACACAGGTGCCTGGGCCCCTCCCCGGGTATTCCGAGTCAGTGGGTCTGGTGTGAAGTCTGAGAATTTACATTTCTGTCTCGCTTCGTAACAGCGGTGCCAGTCCCTGGCCCATCTCTGGAGTAGTTCTGCTCTATGGTCAATTCCTTAGGAAGAGCCGGCTGCTTGCTGGACTTAGGGCTGCCCGTGGGGCTCCCTGTGCTGAGAAAACATGGATGTGTTATTCGGGTGCTTTCCCCCAGTAGTTGTTTTTGTGCTCGTACACCGAGTGGAACTTCCTCTGGAGAAGGACAGAGAAAACCCAGGTGCGCTTCGCAGAGCTTAGAGCCTCCAGTGCCGCTGGAGGTTGCCTCAGAATGTCAGGGAGCCCAAAGCCACCTTCAAAAGCATCTTCCCAGACACTCGAACTCAGGCAAGTTTGGGATGTTCTCGTCGGCAGACAGATGTCTAAAATAAGCAGGCACTTGCTCCCTGCTTTTTCTTATTTATTCTTTTGTTTGACTGTTTAAGATTCTGAAATTACTGATTGATCTGGTGATGTTTGCCGCACAGATTTCTACCCTCATTCAGGGAGATCTTGCAAATCCAGGACATCCCGTGTTTTTCCACTTTACTGGTGACAAAAGAGGCCGACTTGGGTTCCCACCTTCTTGATGTATCCCTCACTCCGTGTCTCGTGAGAGAACCAGGGACAGGGAAGTCTAAGGCAGACACGGGCCCTCTCATGGGGCGGCTGGCACCGTGTGTGCTCTCCTTTCTCAGCACTAGTACGGCCCAGGGTCTGCACAATTCTACAAGTGTCTGGCCCGCCCCGTCCTCCTGTGTGGTGACTGAGGGGCCACACTCTGGGGGCACTGGTTCAGCTGCAGGAATTGTTTGATTTGTTTGATTTATGGAGGAAGAATCTGTTCCACAGTGAAGGGGAAGAAACGTACCTTGCAGGATCGTCCAAACAAGGAGAAAAGAGGTGCCAGCTGCCCTGGTTTTCTCCTCCCCAGAGACCAGCCAGACGGCAGCACGGTGGACTGCCCAGGCCGGTCCTGAGGCCAGCAACAACGCAGTCTTCTTTGTGGATGTTGCTGTTTGGGAACATCAAAGTGTACATTCATTATGTGGGAGACAGTGGGAGGAGGGAGGAGCTTGTGACTCTGAGGACCCTGGACTGACCAGTGAGCCCAAGTACCAAATGCTGAGGCCGTCCGATGTCAGGCCACCGAGGTCTTTCATTTTTGTTGTGGTTTCTGGTGTTTTCCCTTAGGTAGTTTCATGGGGCCCAGATGGCCCTCTGCTGGCCAAATGTATTTAACAGTTCAGTTTGACAGGCACCGAACGTTTGTTTTCCAGGTCCGTTTCTGGCACTTTCTTAGCCTGGCACTGTGCTCCCGGGAAGCCACGTTTTCCTGTGTGTGTGGCACAGTAAAGCAGGCACACTAGCAAAGTGTCATCCTGCTGCGCAGCCAACGCTTGCTGGGAGGAGGCCTCCTTGGCTGTCGGCTGTTGTTCCCCCACCGCGAGGCTATCACAACCGAGTAAGGACCAGGTCCCCAGGGAGCGGGGCAGGCGGCTTGAACCCAGGACCAGGCGCTGCAGGAAGTGCGCCTCACCGCCAGCGTGCCGCCGCCTGGCCGGAATTCGTGCGGCAAAGAGGGTTCGAAGTGAACCACGATGTGCCCGACCCTGTCCCGTGTCCGGCCCTGCTCGTCCATTTCTGCCACTCTCTGCAGCTCCTGTGAGGCTGGGTCAGAATGTTTCTGTCCCAAGGGGAAGCCAGGCCTAGAGGAAGTCTCTTCCTTCTGCATGGGGAGCCGGCTCACCAGGTGTTCCCTGCGCTGGGCTTCTGCCCTGCCTCAGCTGGCCAGCGTGGTCCTGGGCGGGCTCTGCTCCAGCCGGCCTGGTCCTGTGTGACAGCCGGGAGAGCTGTCTGACCGCCACGTCTATGCCAGACGTCTCACTCTCCTGATTCAGGGACGCGAGACGGTCAGCCCCGAGGGACAGGCAGGCCTGAGCCTCAGTGCCCACTGTGCCACTGTGCTCTCCACGCCAGATGCTGTCGGACCCTAGCTTCAGTGATTACAACCCCTAGCCGAAGCCACAGCAGACCCGAAGTGGCTCTTGTGTGACACTGAGGGCGTGCGGGATCCCTGGCCTCTGCGGCCACCAGGTAAGTGGACCCTGGAAGGAGGAGCGTATTCTGACACGTTTTATTCTTCCTGTAAGATCATGGTGATCTGGTCATTGTGCTGCTCCCTCCTGCGTGGCATCCGCCTCCCTGTGCCAGTGATCCAGTGTTCTGTGTATACTGCGTTGGTGAAGATGACGGCCTGTCAGTCCCCTGAGTCCATGGACGGAGGGGTGCCTGACAGGGTCTTCTAGCCGTGTGACATAGCCTCTGGATCCATCCACCCAGAGAAAGGTGGTGGGGATTTTACACGTGAAGGAACCAGGGCAAAGAATTCTAACCCCAAAACCCACGCTCTCCTTGTTCTCCAGCATAAAGCCTATTATATAATTTATATTTCATGTATGAGAAATGCGAGTCCTCAAATTCAAATACAGGAAAACTGCTCCTGCCCTAGTCCACTTACCAGCGCTGTTGTGCTGTGGAGGTTATTTAACTCTCTGAGCCTCTGTTTATTGAATTTTAAAATGGATATGTAATATTACCTACCTACTGTTTTGGTAGGTAGTTGAAGATTGATTTAATAAAATGTTTAAAGCGGTGCATGACACAGAGCAAGCACACTGCATGATTTAGAAACAGAGCAAAACAAAAACCACAGGTCCCGGGACTAGACTGAGTGCTTCTGATTCTTGCTTTAATGGCTTCCTCTGTCACCCATCTCTAAAATGATTATTGAAGCCTATGGGAAAATGAGTGCCGTCTTCCAAAATACCCTTTCTGCCCTTCGCTTTAGCCAACCTGGTGGTGAATGGTGGCTGTTTGTGGCTTTGGTTGCTTGGAGACTGCACCCAGTGTAGAGCAGTCGAAAATGAGGTCGTTTATTCTTCCAGCCGGGGTTGGAGCCAGGGCAAGGTCTCTGGCTGGGTGTGGCGGGTGGGGAGGAGCAAGTTAGCAGGATGAGCCTGTCTCCAGACACTCCGGATGGAAGTGCTCAGACCTGCACAGGGCAGTGGTGAGCATCCTGGGTGCGAGAGACAGTAACCTAATACGTTAAGAATCGGAGAGGGAGCAGGCACCTGTGCTGGGAAGGGCCAAGGATGAATCAGCTCTGGACAAGGCAAGTCCAGGGCCGCGCAGTACCCCTGCGGACCCTCGCCGCCCTCGATCCTGAGCTGTGTGCTGCTTCTCCTTTTGATGTGTTGGCTTAATATCCTGCAGACGACACAGGCCGCTGTGGGAAATACGACTGCTGACAGGTTCTTCATCTCGCAAGAGAAGGCACACGGGTCCTTGGCTCCAAAGGAAAACCTCGCAGAACCCCCGTGCTCTGCTGGGTTTCGTGTCCATCCTGGGTCCGTGACCGACTGTGGTCCAGTCACTGTGGCTCAGCGGCCAGGGCCCCCACAGTCATGGACGTGCCATTTTCCTTATGGTGTAGGAGGTGCGGAGCTCTGGGTGGGGGGAGCAGCTCTCACATGGAGGGAAGGTGAGATGAACAGAAATGAGTGATGGGTACCCTGCCTCCTGCGTCCCCCTCAGCCGGTCTCACCGGCCTCCTTTCTCTCTGCCCCCCAGTCCCGTCTGTTGGTTTCTGTCTTATGGTTCTGTTTATCTTCCATGATTTCCCACCGTCCATAGCCCATCCAGCTGTGCACTCATCCGTGGGGAGGTCTGGGCTGAGGTTGAAGCCCTTGCTTCTCATGTGGTCAGCTCACAGTCCAGATGAGCCATTTTATTGGCTGACGTTAAAGCAGTGAAAATCGTACGTGGTGCCGATGCCTTGTTGTAGAGTCTCTCTCACCAGTACCAGCACAGTCAAGTACCCCTTGTTTCTGTTGAGCCTTACGCTTTTCTTTCCGAGGGACACACAACTTTCACTTTCACCTCACCTACTTCTCTTACTCTTCCCTCTTTTGTAGAGGAGATGGAGCTCAGTGGAGTAAAAAATGTCATAGACCGCGTCTGTAGGTGAGGAATGAGTCTCTGAGGTTAGGAAGACGCAGGTCGGCGGAGAGAACCCCAGCAGGCAGTAGGGCCCCGTCGGAAGCAGCCTGTAGAGGGCGCTGTCTCTGTGCTGCCTGTAAAGGTGCCCCCCCCCGGGGGTGGCGGTGGTGTCCCCAGGGCAGATGGGACCTGCAGGCCGAAAGAATGGGCGCCTTTGGTGACCACCGTGGCTAGCGGCTGGGGTGTGCGTCCAAACGCTTGGTGCTGTGCAAAGGCTCTGCGACGCAGGCACTGGGAGGGCCCCAGGGTGACTGGGACCTTCCCGTCAGAGCTGGATGCCAGGCGCCTTAGAAGGAGCTGCGGCCGGGAATGGTCCGCAAGGTCCGGCCTGGGACTCCCCACCGCATCTCCAGCGGACTTCCTTGTATCCACTGTCAAACTCTGCCCGCCTCTGTCCGGAGAAGCTCCCCCTCTGGGTCCTGGGCGTCCCCGTCCTTTGTCCATTCTTTCAGACATTTTCTCAAAGGAAGAGTTTGCTTAGGTCAGACCCACCTGGTCTCTTCTGCTTGCCTCTCTGCGCGCAGCTCTCCACGGAGCCTCCTGGGGAAGCCATCGAGGTGTCCTTTTCTGATCCTGCCTCATGTAGTCACTGTCCCGTCCCCGGAACAAACACCTGACACCCGCAGCTGGAAAGAGGCAAGGTGTATTTTAGCTCATGTTTGCAGCCGGCGGTCAGCTGGCCCTGAGCCAGGCGATGTCATGGCAGCGGGGAGGAGAGGAGGAGAAGCTGCCACGTTGGGCTGTCTGGGAAGCAGGGTGGGGGTCACTTTTCCTTGTCTGTGCTCTCTGCTGTCTCAGTCTCTATGCTGGTCATCCTGAGGGCTCACCTCTCTTACCTCCACTGTTTACACACATTTCGAAAAGAGCCATCTCCTCTCCTGGCCCAGGGACCATATACGGATCGATCCACTGAGACTCTCAGCTTAAGCTCAGATTTTCTGGCTCCAGATATAAAATTCCACTACCCACGGAGCATCTGTCTTGGCTCCTTGAGCCCAGTGTGTCCCAAACAGAATTCATCATTTCTACCCCACCCCAATTTCTGCTCTTTCTTCTAACTTCTGCCTATCAAGAGGTGCCCCGTGCATCTACCTCATCACTCAGGCTCCTCCTTCCTTTATCTTACCTGCGTCTCCTCCCATGAATTACCAGATCCTTCCATTGTGCTTGCTAACTTCACACCCATGTCTGTGCTGTATCTGACTCTACCCTACCCACTTCTTTCCTGGAAGCTCAAACGTCAGGCTCCAGTCTTTGCCTTCCTTCCCCTATGTCCACTTTTATCATTGTAAATATCCTGAGCGATCCTTTTGCTCTTCGTGTCCTCTTTCAAGTGTATTCTGTGTGGTGTTTTAAGCCCAATCTTCCAAAAATGCAAATTTTATTTTGTTGCAGCCTTTCTTAAAACTGCCCACTTGTCCCTCACATCATAGAACAGAAGCACGTCAATGGACGTGCTCTGGCTACAGAACAACAGGATACGTGATTGGGAGCAATGTATCCATACGTGTGGTTTTTCTCTTATAATAAGAATACTAGAGATTGGTGGTGTCAGATTCCTCCCCACAGCACTGGTGATGCCTTCATCCATGCTCACCAAGGCATCAGCATCTTCGCGTGATGACTCCAACAAGCAGATTGGAAGTCGCGGGATCTCTCCATGTTTGCCTCCTGTTGATTCCTCAGCCCCGACTCCAGCCACGGCCCCTCACAGCTCCTCCAGGATTGGGTCACAGGTCCATCTTGGACACAAAGCAGCTAGAAAAATCAGTATCTGGGGTTCTTTCCGCTATCAAGAGGAAAGCGGGTATGAAAGAAGGACAGGTTGGAGAATGGTTCCTGAGTAGACAAACCAAAGGTGATTATCTCTACTTTCAACTCCCATGGTCCTTCCCATGTTCTCCCTCACATGCAGGCCCCTGAGTCTGTGGTCATCCCTTGTGGACATCCTCTGTGGTCATCTCCTGTGGTTATCCACCCCCTGTAGACATCTCCTGTTTTTCTCCATCCCCTGTAGATATCCTCTGTGGTCACCTCCTTTGGACATCTCCTGTGGCCACCCCCTGTGGTCACCCCCTGTGGACATCTCCTGTGGTCACCCCCTGTGGCCATCCCCTGTGGTCATCCCCTTAGACACCACCCCCTGCATTTGGCCTCTGAGTCTTCCCTTTCCCCTCAGCTCCAGCACTGTCCCTCCCCTTTACCTGCTGGGTTAAGCATCCATCTCACGCTCTGGATTGTATCATTTATCCCCTGTTTGGGGAAGGGCTTTCATTAATCCCTTTAGTGGATTTGAGGGTAAAGCAACTTCCTGTTTCCCCCCATGGCCAGCAGAGGACACTGCAGCCTTGGGCTTGAGCGCCCTTTAAAACTATTGATTCCTGCAGCCTTGAGCTTGCTTTTATTTGTGTTTTTTTTCCCCCAAAAGAAGTACTGACTTTGAGATTCTTATAAAGAGTGTGCACTATTTGTTTAAAGTTAGGTTTTGCTTGTGTGATGCACCCACCGACTATGCTGCAGTCGCTGTGACGGTGCACCTTCGCGTACTCGCCGAAGTTTATTGCTAAAATGATGCACATTTTAAATTCCCCTCCTCAGGTAGTTTTAGTGCTACTGTTGAGCCCTCAAGAGCAGCTGAGGTGATCTGAAGACGGCAGCCTGGTGCACAACCGCTGCTGCCCATCTCTGCGGCGGGGTGAGGTGAAGGTTGGGTAGATGTTAGTTACCCCGGGGTGCAGCCAGCCCCCGTCCAGCCTTCTCCACCCTGACGCGTGTGAGAACTCGCCTCGCGCTGGTCCTTATCTGAGGAACTGGGGCAAAGCAGCTAAACAAGGCACAGCAGTTCCTCGATTTCAGAAGGGAGCTTGTGTTCAACGGAGGGAGGCACATCAACGTGTGTATAATAACATTTCAGGAAAACCCTAGAAGAATGAAACACAGCAAGTGGTCGTGGGAGGGTACGGTTGTGTGTGCCGCAGACCCAGAGTACTGGAGTGTGCAGCGGTGGGTGAGGCCTGACTCACCTTCCGGAAGGCTTGGCTGCGCATAGACCGGTGGTCGTAGGGAGAGCAGAGGCTGGCGTGGAGCTGCTGGAGTCCAGCAAGAGGCCCTCGGAGCGGGAACACGGCGACAGCGATGCGGGGCCCGCCCTGGTCAAACTAGGCTGTACTCGAAAGGTTTAGAGACAGGATTGCCAGTTTCCCGGATGGCAATACGAAGGTGTGAGAGAAGCCATTCACCAAACCCAGCTTACGTTTTCTCTTCTCGTCCGAGGCTGCAGTGTAAACAGAGGCGACACTGATCCACAAAGCAGCTTTGTTATCAGCGAGGATCTCCAGGCTTCGA